GCTGTTTACATTTAGATCAAAGTATGCTCATACGTTGTTTACATTTAGATCATAGCATGCGCATACGTCGTGATACTCTCCAAAATGGCACCAGGGTGACACAGAGGAGGCGAATTGTTGAATAAAGTTGTTATTTTTGTTTTCTTTGAACACAAAAAGTATTCTCGTAGCTTTGTAAAATTACGGTTGAACCACTCATGTCACCTGGATTATTTTAACGATGTTCTAACTGCGTTTCTATGCCTTGACCGTGGTAGTACCCTTGCTGTCTATGGGAGGGTCAGAAAGCTCTCGGTTTTCATCAAAAATATCTAAATTTGTGTTCTGAAGATGAACGAAGGTCTTACGGGTTTGGAACGGCATGAGGGTGAGTAATTAATGAATTCATTTTTGGGTGAACTAACCTTTTAACATCCATGGAACCATTCCATTGAATAAAAGGTTATTTAGAGTGGAAAAAGCTTCTTTGAATAAGCAAAAAGTTCTTTAAATTAAGAAAATTATGGTTCTTCACAAATTGTTCACTGAAAGGTTCTTTGGGGATCCCAAAATGATGCTTTTATGGCACTGCAACCTTCATTTACCACAAAAATACTGAAGCTTTTTGAGTTTCAGAGAGGAAGCATCCTATTAGCGCAAAGCGTTGTTTTTAGTTGGATTTGTTTGATTCTTTCAGGTTCAACAAACCTGAAAGAATCAGATTGATCCAGATCTCAAGTTTAACTTAGTGACTTAAAAGGATTGTTCACCCAAAAATGAAAATTCTGTCATTAATTACTCACCCTCATGTCGTTCCAAACCCGTAAGACCTTCGTTCATCTTCGGAACACAAATTAAGATATTGAGATTAAGATGAAGGTCTTACAGGTTTGGAACGATATGAGGGTGTAATTAAAAATAATATCCTCTGCTTCTCAATCGGGTGAGGGGCGGGACGTTTAGACGCGCACTAGAGGCGGTTTAGCCAATCACAACTTTATTATTTAAAGATTTTTATGTGCACCTCTAGTTTACTCTTCCTCTTCTCTAAAGCAGCACAGCATGGCCTCGCCCCCTTTGCTGCCTTTTCCCGAGGGCGGGGTTTATCTGGGTTTGTGATGTCACGAACCCGGGAAGTAACTCGTTGTAGTCCCTACCAGCCGTTTTTGTAAGCATTAAACTGCCAGAATTTTAAAAGAGGATATCTCCGTTTGCATTGAATTTTCAGCTTCGTAACTTTGCAGATATTGTTTATGCTCAAACAGCAACATTACACACTAACTAACGTTAAAAAAGTGAAATCGCAATCAACCACCCCTTTAACACAAACACAACAACTTACCAGAAAGAAGGATATACATTTATGAAAGAAAAAAACAAAAATGTTATGACATTAGGTAAAAAAAGAGATGGCAATTTCCATTTCTGGGTGAACTACTCCCTCAACCAAGAGTGTTCATTGCACTAAAACTGCTTACTAGATAAAATGAACTGCCAATTTCCATCACCACAAAAAGACATAAAATGAAGCCAAATAGGTAGATTGTGTACCTAATTCTATAAACCGCATACAGGCACATCGATTTGCTGATGGTATGTACTAACAAAAACAATATACAATTGTGTTAAAAGCCAGGGAAGTAAAGACAAGACAGGAAACAGGGAATTGGCATACTCTTCAAACTCCATTAAGCTGGCTTAATGCGTAGAGGGCTGGGAACTTACTTAATAATACACACAGATACACGCCAGGACATCTGAGTTCACAGGGATAAGGCTTTGCAGAACATGCTAGCCTAGCACATAACATTAAGTTCTGTCAACTCCATCTGTGAACTAGTAATCTAGTGAGCAAATAAAGTGTTATTATGTCAGCGAGGAGGTTGTGAGATGCATCTGTGTACAGAATCTCCTGCTGTGAGGATAAGAAAGATAAGATCATCCCATCTATGAATTTGAAACTTGGCAGAGCTCTAAACAAACCAAAAATATTATGCTCATTATGTGAACCAGCTGTTGTCATTTAGTCGCTGACATAATCACATTCACATTCCTGATGACTGTTCTTGCTTAGTCATCCCATGTGTGGACACGAGTGTGTGTGTGAGGCAGTCCATACTGTGAGTTGTAACTGTGTAGGAGAGACACTTTATGTGAATTTGTGTATGACTTCCACTTTGTTTTCCATGCTGTTTTGGTCACTTCTGGCAACAAACGGCCACATTCAGCATTATTATCTCGTACATCTATCTAATATACAGAATTTTTGAACTGGCAAAACATTGGTGCCCTGTAGCATTCGGCCAGTAGCTCGATACAGCAGCATACATGCACCGCACTGGGCAGGGTAACTGGTCAAAAGAGTTCAGCTTTTCTTCTTAATTCATCACCCGAAAACACCGACGCGTCTATTCAGTTCAACTGCTGTCTGATCATCAACCGAGGCCCGAGGAGTTCACATTCACACCCAGTGAATAATACAGCAATCTGCTCCTCTGTAAGAGATACTGTCGCTGCTCGGCTCTGTGTGTCTCGCGCCAGTGATGATCGCTATCCCCGGGCGCCAGCGTTGTGGACGGTCACGTGACCTCGCATTGTGAGTCCACAAGCAAATGAATTTGGTTTCATCACTCTCTCGTCGCAGGCAACATTTCAAACTGTCGATTCACACTGCAAAGTATATGTTCAAAGGTTAGAGTGGTTAACAAATTTGTGTTTTTAAAATAATGTTATTTTTTTAACATTCGCTTTTAAATGAGCAAATTCATCTAAGTCCAAATTTATTAAAAACGAATTATATTTACATCTTAAATATGATACTACTCTCGAGTGTGCAAGTACTCTTTATTTTCTCTTAAAGACCCATGAAATCAAACTTAAAGTGACAGTTCACCCAAAAATGAAAAATACCTCATGATTTGCTCACCCTCATGCCATCCTACTGTAGGTGTATATAACTTTATTCCTTCAGACAAATACAATCGGAGATATATAAAAAATTGTCCTGGCTCTTCCAAGCTTTGTAATGGCAGTGAATGGGGGTCGAGATTTTGAAGCAAAAAGTGCTACACGGTTTCGGTGGGGTTAATAAAGGCCTTTCTGAAGTGAACCGATGCATTTGTGTAAGAATAATGTCCATATTTAAAACTTTATAAACGGTAATCTCTAGCTTCCACTAACTCGTACATGCGTACACAAAAGTGGCATTCAAGCTGATGTCGTAGGAGGTACCTTACAAAAAATAACCATGGTTTTGCTACAAATAAAACCAAAAAACCATGGTTACTAGTTAAACCATGGTAACCACAAATTAACCATGGTTTTGCTAGAATTAACATAGTTCAACCATGGTATTTGTAGTAAAACTGTGGTTATACAAATGGTAATCACTATGCCAAAAAAACATGGTTACTACACTTTTACTACAATAAAACCATGGTTAATTTTTCCACTTGACCACTTGTCTTTTTGTTCCCTAGTGTTAAAGTGGGTGTGAAGACCACAAGTGTGTGTGTGTATAACGTTTGATTACATGATATGGAACACACTTATAATGTTGCAAGACTGCAAGAATTTTTTACAGAGCTTTATTTACACATGTCATAATACCTACACATAACTGTCTGTGCACCAATAAAATATTTGAAACTTTATGTTTTACTATCAAATTGTATGTAATATTTGATTAATTTAGCTTAAACTGGAAAGTTTTCATTACAATCTAAAAAATTAAAAACAAAAATCACGACTTTATACAACAATTCGACTCCTCCGCATCACCCTAGCGCCATTTGAACAAAAACAACATATCCACGTGGCACACCTGACACAGAACAGCATACGCTGTTTACGTTCAGTGGATACTCTCCAAAATGGCGCCAGCTTGACGCGGAGGAGACAAATTGTTCAATAAAGTTGTTATTTCTGTTTTCTTTGCATACAAAAAGTATTCTCGTAGCTTTGTCAAATTATGGTTGAACCCCTGACGTCACATGGATTATTTTATCGATCTCCTTCCTAGGTTTCTGGACCTTGATCGTGGTAATTACATTGCTGTCTATGGGAGGGTCAGAGAGCTCTCAGAATACATCAAAAATATCTTAATTTGTGTTCCGAAGATGAACGGAGGTCTTACGGGTTTGGAACGACATGAGGGTGAGTAATTGATGACAGAATTTTCATTTTTGGGTGAACTAACCCTTTAATATCCAATTACATTACAGCCTTGACCTCATTGAATTTCAGTCAGAGTTGTACAACACTTGATCGCAGTTTACAGATACCATAGGAATGAATGAGAAGTGCCGTAAGCTGAATCCCACCTGTCGCAAAAGGTCAGTGACTTCTCTTATAAAATGCCATTTTATTTCGGTGTAAACTCTAAAAATAGTTCATTCCAAAAGTATTGTTTAGTGTAAAACATGTTGAAGATTAGCAGATAGGTTGTCGATTCATTAAATGATAAGCTGTTTCCTCTAAAAAAGTTGTTTATTCGGCATAGTGAAGCCTCTCCTCGATTGACATCCATTAAAAAAAAGGCCTCTGGTCTCCTTTCCCACCTAAGTTACTGCCAGACCGGAAGCGTTAGCATTAGCCGTTACGCTTTTTCGGCTAAAGGTTGCAGGCTTGCCTTCTAGTGGCTTTGGTATATTCATATCTATACTGAACACCCTCTGGCTCAGCCTGCCACAGTAGCCACGCCCCAAACTCTCGCTATTGGCTGCGCAGAGGTATGCAAATACATAAGTTGACAGGACATTGCTATCATTGGATTCGGACCTAATTAAATTATTTTATGGTCCTGAGCCTTCCACAGAAGATGAGGAATGTTTAAGAATATTTATAAAATATATTTTTATATATTTATATTTATGCCCTGAAGAGACTTTCAACCAGTATTTAAAAAATTACATACACTACCTTTAATAGGAAATACAAATATGGTCATAATGAGTGGTCTTCCAACGGTTGAGGAAATACAAATATGGTCAAGGTGAGCGGAACTACAACGGAAGAGGAAATACAAATATGGTCATAGTAAGTACCTCACTCAGTCTTCTTAACCGCGACAGTTTTCCACAGTTAACCTTATTTTTTTTGTTAATTAGGTTAGTCACTGGTAAAATACAGTGCGCAGACTTACATTAATGGACAAAGTCAACAATTAGCCGTCAAAGTTTGTGAAATTACAGGTATGACATATTTTAAAAAGCATAATAATCTTGCTTATCACGTTACTAGGCTAATTGGCCTAGTAATTACAGGCGATTATCGATTGTGTTGCAACGGTGCAGTTTTCAGTTACTTTAAAATGTATTTTTGCATACTTTTTTCTCACAGAGTTTATTTATTTCATGGTTTCGTGCTGGATTGATTAAGTCATGATGGCTAACGCAGAACATGCGGAGTTGAAGTCTTTACTATCCGAAGAAAATGAAGCATCCCAGTCTCTGACAGAATTAGAAACGAATACACAGACTCTTGACGGTAATGAAGGGAAAAAATGTAATTATTCTCAAAACCCAGCACACTGATGCACATATTAGTGCTCTTGTTTACAGAAGTCAATGCAATGGCGCCCTCGTTCGGCGATGAGAAGTGTTTCTTAGTTGAAGGTGCAGAAGGCACAGAAACTCAGAATAAGAGAATAATGGATGAAAAAATCTGCCCCATTGAAAGACAACTTGAGTACTTGCTGAACAAGGCGGATGAGTTTCAAACACAGCTTTTATGGAGGTGGTTTTAAGATCTAGAAAAAAACATTTAGATTTTTTTTATTCTTTTTTTGAACATTAAAATAGTTTTTTATGTTTTAGCCGAGAGTGCCTCCAGAATTATGGGTTTGCCCATATTGTCCCCATGTTTTTGCAAACTTGTCAGCCGTACTTCACTTACCTGGAGTCCACAGCCAGAAACTCCAACCCCTTCCGTCCACCTCTGTCCACATATATACGCACACAAGTGAGAAACTGATTTATTCTGCACATCTTACGCCACAAACTGCAGGAATACACGTATTTACTGTATTTGTATCCCATCTCAGCTTTTGCAGTTTTCTCAGCAACTGTGTTCCCGTCTGGAGCAGCTGGTGTTGCTGTACGCCTCCTTCAGTTTCTTCTCATTAGAGGAATCTGATCCACTGAGGTACAATCCGATTATAAATCACAGACAAAACTTAGGCAGATATAAATGAAGGTGAGGATTCAGAAGAAACTGATCCTTTATTAGCACAAAAGGAAGGCCTGATTTTAGTATAAGTTAGATTCCACATTGGGATATTTCTATTACCATTTCATTCATTGCAGATTTTTACTGTATCTTTTTTTCAGTATCTCTCACTTCTACATTGGCCAGTGTCAAATAGACAACATGAAGCTGTCAATCTTCCGGTACTGTTGCCCTACCCCCTTTCTTGCGTCAGCCAGTACCGGTCTATACAAACGTATGCGCTGGAATGTGGAGCGACAGATAGAGGGAGAAGGAGAAGGACAGACATATGACAGTGCAGAGTTGTAAGTGAGGTTTAGTCAGAGAAAAGTAGAATGCACATTTTATTTATTTAGAATTTATTTATTATACAGAATGATAATAATTCGTAGGTAATAACACAGCCCTGAATCTTGAAAAAAGTTTCTGCTGATTTTGCACATACACAATAAGATATATATCAGCCTTAATGCACTTGTCCAAATTTTTAATGACAAAAAAAAGCATTCAAAATGTATAACTTACAGTCCTGCAAAGGAGTGGAAAAGTGGAAATCAAGATTAGGCTATAATATCTTTGAAATCATTCATACATGTGAAAATGGGCTGAGAATTGAACAAATAGTTGTGACCTGGCTCAGAGGAAGTTTTTCTGGTGATTAAGGGATAATACGAGACTTCTTCACCTTACAAATGGTTGTCTGAAGCAGAAATGCTACCAAATGCACACCGTATTTTGTGAGAAAGTGTGATGTGCTTGAGTAAAGCAGGCACTATTTTTGGATTCAGCACGCCAAAATTAGTAAGAAACAAGTATTGAATTTTATTCAGCAACTATGACGCATGGTGGTGTAATAGTTTTTCAGCACAAGCAATATTAGCATATGCAGAGGGAAACTAAAATGAAAGTGTAGAAATAAGAACAGCCTTATGTATTACATTTTAGCTTATTAACACCAAGAAAATAAAAGTACAAGTCTAAATGCCAATAAAAAACCTCAGGATAGTTATGAAAACGAGAAAATATGTCTCACAGAGCCTCATTTTGGGAGGGGATAGTGCCATAACCTATCTTCATCTTTACATCAACCATTTCCTACCTTCACAGTTACTTCCTGTGCTGCGAGGATGTCATTGAGGCAGCAGATGATAAGGATGGAGAAGGAAGGTGCGAGGGAGAAAATACAGAAACTGAGAGAGAGAGTAAAGTAGAGAGGATTTGGTCTATTGGCCGGTGGATTCAGACATACCCTGATCCAGACACAGAGGACATCACTGATTGGTAATGTATTTTTAACTACCTTCAGTTTAATAGGAAAAGATGGTTAAACAATGATTAAATGAGTAATAGTTACTTATATTAGTATCGAACCATACATTATTTTATAATACTGTTGTTACTACAGTTTCTAATTTCCACAAGAAGTCAAAAACCAAAGCTAATCCTAGATAAGCATACGTCCAATTAGAGATCATTTTGAGGGCAACTATTAAGCAATATGTAACTTGGAAATAACAGTTAAACCTAGATGAAAAATTCATTCTGTGTATATGTTTTGTAGGGTGCTGTGTTCAGTTCCTTGTGGTCAGTACAAACAGCGGTTGTGTCTGGGAAGTGAGGAGCCTTCATCCTGCACTGCCACAGACTGCCTGCTGGGGATGCTGCTGTCTCAGGAAACAGATGGTACATTTGGCATGAAAACATGAGGTGGTGCTTACTTAGGGCCTCACCCATTCTGGATAGAGCATTTGGTTTATTCAAATCAGATGTGAGTACAGATTGAAGTTAAAAATCTAAGGTCTGTAAATGTTTGCAATTTTTAAAATGTTTAAAAATAACTAAAAAAATGTTTAGTTCATGGCTGTTATTGTTGTGCCATGTTGGTTTGTTATGTGGTAAATTTACACTAGTGATGGAAAGTTCGTTAAACGGAGTAAAAGTTCAAGATTAAATGTCAAACCAACTTTATTTTTCATGAAAACATTCCAATACAGTGGCTATCCAAGTAGTCTGTTACAAAATCCAGAAATAAAACCTGCTGGCAGTCAAGGTCATCTGCCTACTTTTCTCTATAAAACAAAGAAATATAACAATCCTTCCTTTCAAAATAATAAATTACAAAAATATACACAATAAAAGCTGGAATATGTACCACACAACAGTTATGTCTTTGCACAGTTGTTGGAAAACATGGTAAAGATCAGTGGAAAGGGCAGAGCATTATGAATAACGTTGTTGTATTCCTCCATATGCTTTATTGTAAATCAGCCCAGTCAAAGCTATTCTCAGTGCATTTTTTACTGCTGGTTTGTGTGTCTATACAGTAGCTTACCCTGTATGGTATTTGTATCTGTGGTATATCAAGTTATACAGCAGTAGTTAAGCCAAAATACAGTGAAAGTCAGAATCTACCTGGAATCCCTGTGTTCCCTGATTATAATGTAAAGCGGTTCCTTTGATATATTCTAAAAAAAAAAAAGTTTGATTTTAATAAAAGCTCCTACATTTACAGTCTCTAAACTACTTCACAGCACTAGACAAATAGGCAGTACAACAGTACAGTACAAATGAAATTAAAACAGTAATCTCTCTTCATAATACAGTAAACAGACTATCACTGTCCCTTTAAAATAATATACATGCACCATCACATATGACAAAATGGATAATAGGGGCTCCAATAATCAAATTGTGCTTTAACGTTCCACTGGGCCACGGTCAATCAAGTCATTCAGTCAGATATGTGAAAAACAAAACTCCTCACCAGACATCAATGTCTATATAACATTATTGTTATAAGTATTATAAGTTAAATTTAGGTGAACATGTTAGGCCTGCTTATAATGTGACCTACTGAATTCGAATTTCTTTAGAATATTCTGTGTTCCAATAATTCAGATTTTTTTTTTTGTGGTGGCAAAGAAATACATAGGAGACAGAACAATGCAGAGTACTTAAAAAAAAAATGATTTCATACTAGATAAGACCAACCAATTTCTCTGACCAAAGTAGGGACAGTAAACACTTGGGAGACTATAGTGACAGTGTATATGAGTGCTTATTTAGCAAAAAAGTCTTTCCAGCCCTCTAAACATGGGAGTCAACCTCAGGCACAGCAAACCAGAAAACTTCAGTTCAGTTTGCATGAGTGCTGTTATGAGAGCTGCTCCTTGTTCCTCAAATAGATACTAATCATTCATAATTCGGACAGGGAGGCACAGTGTTCAGAAGGTTCACAGTAAAGATGATCATTTGATGTAGCTGCACAGTTTTTCCTGTACCACTAATAATATAATTCATCATATAATAAAAAATTCCTGTAATGCATTAATCTAGAGTGGCAAAGTTTCTGGTGTCAGTGATTTTTAAAATGTTACAGCAATGCATATACTTGAGAAAACTACATTTTTTGTCATGCTTCTTGAAGATAAGGTTTAGACCAGACAGTCTTTGAACCAAATCGGTTTAAAATTGTGGATAGCGGTGCATGCTTTGGAAAATTTGTAATACCGTCTTCTATTTTACAGTTATCACAATTACTCAAAGAATTAAACATTTAATTTGGAACAACTACAGTTGTCAAATCGGCAAATTTACTTCAAAATACTCTTTCACTCTGTAGTTTATCCTGCAAATCTTGTGACAAACAGTAGAATGCACAAGCAATGAATTATTCAATAACAGCATTTTGCGCGATTGAAAAAGAGCTGAATTAAACCAGTTTGTTTGTTTTTTTAAATCATCATAGTGCAAGAACAAAAAATGCCTGCTTGATCTGAATTTTAAACCTGCTTGTTTCGATTCACCTCAAGGTTTTATCTTTTTCAAAGATCTTCTGCTCCGAGAAGTCAGAGAAAGGAGCCTATTTTGTTTTAACTTGCTCAGTCATTGAGTTGGCATCTTGCCTGCATTGTGGGTAGAGGGCTCAATAATGACTAAGAGATAAATGTATGTAGTTCAAGCAAGCCAGATATCTCAATTAAACCTTAAGGAAATGGCTTTTTGGCATGAGGACATGTCAGATATGGATGATAAATTTGGCAGGGAGGTTGTTTCAGTGGCATAAAAGTATGGACTGTAGTGTTCCATTGCTTTTGGATGGGTGGGGAGTGGAAATGAAAGCTCACTGCACTAGAATAACTCTTGAGAAAGACAAACCAAACAGAGAGCAAGATGGTGATAATCCAGCACACCGTTCTGCAGTGTCAGTTTCAGGTTCACACAATTTTCTACTCCAACACTTGCTGAAATACTGCAGAATGAAAATGGATGAACCAGTCAAATCCATGACTAGATCCTCTGTAAGAATTTATCAAGAGAAGGCTCTATTATCTAATGCTACAACATACGCTTCCCTACTGGTGGACCTTCATCTCAAGTCTTTTGAGTTCAAAAGTTCATATTTGGCAAGCATTTTATTCAGCTTTCCTCAGTGATGCGTCTCCAGCTCTACAACGGTCCACTCACCCTGAGCAGAGCTGCCTGGAGCCTCGGGTGAAAAGCTGCTCACAGACGTCACAGTGGCTGAAGGGGGTGTCAGAGGTGGCAACAAGTTGGGCCACAGGCTGCTTTCAAGGGGGCTGAGTGTCCCACCTGCTCCTCCAGGTAGCAGAAGAAGGGGCAAGCAACCATCACCTGCGAGCAGTAATGTCTGATTGATGAGCTGCTGGACAATGTCCACTTTCTTGCCCCAGTCAAACTCCAGAGGCGGAGGTCGTTCAGGAGATCCCAAGGGAGAAGGACTGTCTTGGTCTGCTGCAGGGTCTGTCTCCTGAAGTTCTCGCTGGGAACCCTGAATAATAGACTCAGGGGAAGGTGTTGTGCATTGTGAATAAAGATTAGCGGATATATTTTCTTCAGTGCATCTTTGCATGTCTTCTCCAGGGCACACAATAAAGGAGCTTATATCTTCTACTTCCTCAACCACTCCTTGTCCCTCCTCCTCTTCGTCACTTGTTTCCACAGTTTCATAGATGGTGGTGAGACCTGATGAAGAAGAGAGGACAACTGGTGTATGCACCTTGTGTTTTTGCTGCTGTTGTTGTTCAAGTTCTTTTTGCCACTGCATGATCTGCTGTCGCTGCTTTAGTTCTTGCTGTTGCTGCTTAAGTTGCAACTCAAGTAAATTTCTCTTCTGTTCTTCCTCCTGCTGCTCTCTCTCATTCCTTGCTTGTTTCTCCTCTTCTTGTCTCGCTTGTTCTCCATTACGTTTCTTCTGACGTTGCTGGATCTCATGAAGCTGCTGTTGGTGTTGCTCTAGACATCGGAGCTGCATGTTTGCCACCACATTTGGTATTCTGGGAGGGAGGTCAGTGGGAAGCCGTGGTGGCTGGGTCACATGGGGAGCACGTGGCCGGAGACGAAGTTTGGACGACATCGTCATTTGGATAGAAAGCAAGCCATTTGGTTGTGGTGGAAAATGAGAATTTCCTTCTGTGAATGAAGCAAAGGATCCAAATCATGTTAAAAAGGAGAGTTGCAATAAAGCAGAATGCAGTAAAGCAATGTTATAGACTGCAGAGTGTGGTGAAGCAGAAAAAAGCATTGTGGGAAACAAAATTGTCAGATATAAGGTTAAACGATTTAGTGGAGAAGGAATGAACAAAATAAATTTCGCACCTTGGTGACATGCTCTCAAAAATATTTTGTGATGGTTTTTGTGCAATAAAAGTGGCTACACCCTGTATATGCAGTAACCTCTAACTATTGTGAAGAGCAAACAAAAACAAGGAAATAAAAGCAGATGAGCTAAACAATCTCCCTTAATGTGACAATCTGAACACATGCAAAAGTGAGTGCTCACCATGCACAGTACAATACAGCATAAAGCAAACAGGTATTTTTTTTAACAATGAGAAAATGACCCATAAATAGACCCATGCATAAAAAAAAAAAAACATGCTTTACACATAAGCCACCCCAGTGTACAGCATATTTCTTTGGTGAGGTGAGCATGCGTAAAGAAGAGGAAATATTACAGAAAAGTGCATTGTGCAAAGCAACTCCAGTTTTGGGGATTAAGAATCACCCAGCATTGGGATTTATTGAAGTCCAATTAGTCCGGGTAAATGTGTCAAACCAGGTCCTTTCAAATAGCTTCAGCTCAAACTGTTAATAATCAGAGAGTGATTAAAGCAGTTGCACCCAGTTAGTCCCAAAGTGGAAGGTGTGCAAAGTCTACTCCAGAAGCAGCGGTATCAAAACACAAAGATGGAGAACAAAAAAAGGAGGTGGAGGACTTAAAGCACCTTGATAGAGGGTGAGATCCAGGAGGTTGATGGGGTCAGATCTTGGTTTTCCTCCTCTGGTTGGTAGGGAGTTGAGAGGAAGGCGGGGTCAAAAAGGAAAGGAGGTGGAATACAAGCAGAAGGAACATACTGGCATAGAATAAACACACTCCTTCTGCTGCAAGCATCCGGTTTTCTTTACATAATTTGCTTACAGAAGGTTCAACGTGTATTTGTGTGCAAGTGTATATGTGCAAGTTTACAATTTGGTATTAGTAGCTAACTTATAATGCCACAACAAATGGTACCAAATGGTTTAAGTTAAGGGGAATAAATACATTTTTTAATTGATTATGACTTAAAAATGTGCTCTTATGATTTAACAAAATAAAATAATACCATGAATTAGTGTCTCAGCCTTATGTAGTAGTTTTACATGCTTCTTAATATTAAATACCTAATATTAACTCAAATGAATATACCATTGAAATCTTCATTTGTTACTTGGCTACAAATGTGTCCAATTTGCAACAGTCCATAGTGATGAACAGTGGGCATTAAAACAAATCTTGAAACTCAAACATCAAGAAAAATACAGAGCAAAGAGAAATCATGTTAAATATCTAACCTTTATTTAACGCGAAGACATTAAGTACTCCAAATAAACAAGACAATAAAAAAGTAAGGGGTTAGCAAACCCTAAAGTGCAGAAGAGAGAAACATGTGAGGACAGGATATGGCAACGATGGAAAAGGGATGAAAGACTGGTATTTAGTTAATAGACAACAGAATACAAACAGCAAAATATGTTGAAAGTCCATTAGATTGTTCATTTTTCATCAATTTCATCCATTACTTCATTTTGAAGACTCCACTAACAAATAATTTCATGCCAGTTCAGACCAACACCCATTATTAAGATTTAAAAAGAATAGTTGAGAAAAACGGTCACCTTTAGTGTAAATGGTAGTAGCTATTGCACATACAGGTTCTAAGCCATATACTTATAATGTAATTTTAATAGCTGTATCATATTGTGAATGTGGCACTGCTGAATGAGTGTTTTCATAACTGGTTAAAAAGAAACCCCAAGCTAAACAAAACCCTTATATAGAGATGACATCAACAAGGTACACTGTTAGGTGGATTTTAAATGCGCACTCTATACGTTACCTGCCAGGGGACTATCAGTCTTTTCGCTTATAGTGGAATAGTAGAGATGCTGAGAGTCGAGATCTTCTTGGTGCTGTCGGGATGAAGGATCAATCAAGCCAGACTCTAAGGGTACAGCTCCCGCTACTGAATCAGGGTCAGGCAGCTCACTGGACTCTCCACACAGCATGTACTGCTGCTCTGGGTGAGACTGAAACTCTCCATGTTGGCTTTTAATAGGGTCAGTCTTTTCCTCAGATGCAGTAGTGGGTATCAGGGTCAACTCTTTAAGAAGAGATGGATCCTTGGCCTCATCTGGGAGCTGCTCTTCATTTTCTAGAGAAAAGATGCCAGGACTCTTGCTCCAACTCTCAGCAGATGACTGGGCATTGGAGTTAGAGGTCATGTAGTCAAAGCCATAGGATGCGGCAGAAGTGGCAGACTGAGGGGTCTCACTACCACCACCATTCTCCCCACCCATTTCTTCACATTCCTCTAGAGTTGACAAGTTGCGGCCCGCAGGTGCTGTTCCATAGGCATTCCCAGTGCCAGATAGCTCAGCTTGAGGGTCACTGATCTGCATTTCACCTTCTGTGTCACTTGCCTCATCCTCAGTAGCTGATGAAGGAGATGATGGAGCAGTTGCTGGACCACCCAGTACATCATCAGCCGGAAGAGTTTCAGGTTCCTCTTCCTCATTAGCACATTCAAGGTGGATGCCTAGATCCTGCATGATGTCTGGCAAGACAGTGGGGACAGGGTTTAGTGGTTCTGGCTGGAGCTCCACTTTAGAATGAGTCTCATTAGTTGCCAATAAGTTGTTGTCTTTCACCTCTTCTGGTAAACGTACGTCTCCGTTACTGTCAGATGCTAGGCCAGGGTCACTGGAAGTATCAGGCTGGAACTTGCAGGTTTGAGAGGGTGTCAAGCCTGGTTTGGGGCTAACATTCCCCTCTGCAGCAGATATTGGGGCTTGATGAGGTGTGCAAGGTGGAGGCTCCAAAAGGTTTGACGGAGAGCCCCTTTCAGAGCTAACATCAAGTCTTGCTTGAACAGGTGTCTGTGTTGGGGTTTCTGGGTCTGCTTGCCAACATTCAGAGGAAGGACTTGAAAGAAGTGTAGAGGCAGGTTGTGGTGGCTGGGCCCAGGCATCTGCAAAGCAACTAGGCTGGTTCCACTGGGATGCTGGAGGGGCAGAATGAACCAAAGGAGGAGGCTGGATTCGGTTCAAGTTGTCTAATCTATAGTCTTCGGTCAAGTCATCCTCATCTGCATTCCCATAACTTTCAAGCCCACTCTCAGTAATGCCCTCGCTTGCCATTTCTACATCATCATCCTCTTCATCCTCGTTATCATGATGCTGCCTATGAGAGTCCTCTGCTCTTTCGGACTCAACCTCCATGTCACAGACTCGGTCATCATCATCATCATCTTCATCTTCATTAGTAAGAATATCAGAAACCTTCTCAAAGTCAGGGGACCCAACAGATGCACCTTCGCCATCAGCTCCTTTAAGGCTTGCATCCCCTAGATCATCCATGCTCTCCGTGCCTTCCAGGACGCCTGGAGCACTTAGCTCTGACGCTCCCTGCTGGCTGCAACTCACATCTTCAGAGTCAAGCTCAGAGAGCAAGGCCCCTGCCCGCCAAACGGAGCCGGCAAGCCCAGCTGACCCAGGTCGAGACTCTTCAGTAGGCTGGGTGCCACTCATTTCTGACAGAGACACTTGTTGACTGCCTTCCCTCTCTTCTTCTTCCACATCTTCATAACAGTCACTGTTAATCCGTTCAGCTTTTTCAGCCACCTCTACACCAGAAGACACTATGGTAGCTGCAGAGTTATCAAATTGTGAAGCAGTTAAGATTTCCTGCTCAGTTGCTTCCTGTGCAACTGGTGCCTCAGCCGCAATGAGCTTTTCATCAACTTCTCCAGATACCTGCTCTTCAGATTCCTGATCGACTACAGATGATGTCGGACAAGCCACTTCAACAGAACCAGCTTCTATTAAGGCCTCTTGAGCCTCTGGCTCAGTGTTAGAAATATCCAGCACAATTTGAGAGCTGACATTAGTGACCTGCACATCTACCATTTCCTGAACACCTAAAGAAGAGGCTGGAACATTCAGAGAACTCTCTACAGTTGGAGTAGCTTCAGGCCCTGAAACAGACTCTTCCCAGGCTATGGCTGCAGCTGTTGCTACAGCAGTAGCTACTGCAGCTGCTGAAAGTTGCACAGGTTCTGCTGCAGGATCTTTATCATCAGGTTTTGTTGCAGGATCTCTATCATCAGGTTTTGATGCAGGTTCTGTATTATCCGGCTTTCCTTTGACAGACTGTGCTGGTTTAGTTGGCTGAAGCTTCGCACTGACCATGCTACCTGGTTGTTTGTGACTGGGATGTGCTGCAATGTTCTTGCCTGATGCTGGCCGTGAGGGATTGTTTCGTGGACTAGAAGGCACCTTACGTGTTGGTAAACTTTTTTTGTCATCTGGTTTGGGTTGAGGTGCTTTGATGCTAGGTGGAGGTCGTTTGGTAGCTGCAGCTGGTTTTGGAGCCTCTGAATTTGAAGGCTTGCTGGCAGCAGATCGGGATATTGTTGAGGGAACTATTTTTTTCGCAGGTGCCGTAGTGCTTGTTTTTCCAACATCTACAAATGACAAATAGATGTTGATAACATGGAATGAACAAAAAATTAAGCAGTACTTTTCCATAAATCATGTATACATATTCCCATGAATGGTACGCCACCTTTCCGAGCAGCTAATGCTGTAACAAGGGGTTTAGTAGTAGTGCGGCTTGTTCTAGGAACTGCAGAAGTAGATGTAGTTGTCCCAGTTACTGTTCTTCCTGTAGCTGAAGTAGCAGCTGGTTGGGGAGCAGAACTTCCAGTCGCCCTAAGAGAAAACAAAGAAAAAGTCGTTGTGAGCAGCTTAGAAAAAGAGTGATGCCTGTTTGATGTTTGCCATTTTATTTTAGATAGTGTGTTTTACATATTCAGATGATGTTTGATGAGGTTTCATTAGAATGCCTTCCAATATATTGTTCATTGCCGGCACATGCATAAAATAGTTTGTCAAATCAGCTTCCTGCCTTGGGTAGTAAATCTGTAGTCTGCATGCGTACCATAAAGCAATCTCAAGCAGCACCAGAAACCCAATCCACTGGGACCATTCATCAACTAATGCATCTACATTCCATTTCTCTAACCTGAGAGAAAATGACTTGGGTAGGGAGGAAACAGGAAAAGGAGGGGAGAAATGGTGTGATGAAGGGAGTAGAAGTGGGGATGGGTAAAGTGTTTTGTAAGTGACCGCATTAGGGAGAAATTGATAATCAATTTTTCTTTCAGTCTACCCTACACTCTCTTAATGTAGTTGCTTCATATTTCCCCCTTTCATGTTCTCATACGGGAGAATTAGTGATGAGAAGATTGCTTGCATCATCTCACATGCCTTGGTTACTTGCAATTTAATAAATGCTTTTAGTCTTGCAGCCTTGCAGTTCACAAATTGCCCTTAACTAGATGGCTGACAGTCATATTTGCCCTAACCGGAACTTACACTCTAATAAGGATATGATAAAGTTCTCACATACAGCCTGCTTTATTTGGACAAGGGCACAACAGGGTATGCATCACAGAAACAAATAACGCTAGTGAAATTGCTATGGTCACAGTTAGGGCTGGGTATCGTTCAAAAATTTTCGATATCGATACCTTGACTTCAATACCGGTTCCTGAACTATACTTTTTTCGATACCAATTTTATGAAATCTATTTGAACAAGATTACATTATCTAAAAAAAAAAAAAACCCTTTGGTTTTATTTTTCAGCTTGTTGATGTTTATACAGACACAAAGACTCATCTCCTGAGCCACTGCACAAAGAAACAAAATGTAACTAACAAAAAAAATCAGTGCAAATAGTTTTAATAAAGCTCAAATAGTCTTCAGTTTACACATTGTTAGCTACATTTACACTAGTGCGTGTTTGTTTTAAAATGCCTAGCTCAGACAGAATCGTAATTTCTATTCATTTTCCACTGATTTACTGATAAGCATTAGCAGTTTCTAGCGCTGTCTGCCTGTGCTCTCTCTTCCATGATCGCTGCTCTGACTCAGAGGTTATAATATATTTAATTTCATCAACAATACATGGCCAAAACACACACGGCAATCGGAAGTTATTACAAAAACTTGATGGTGGTTTAAAGTGAGTTTTGAGTAAAAGGGGAATATAAATCTTATTTGTCTTATGCAGGGGTTAAATTGGGATTTGTTATGTGTGTGTGGGGGGGCTCTATGGTATCGAGCTTATATATATATATATATATATATATATATATGTGTGTGTGTGTGTGTGTTT